GCACTGGTGGGGGCAGAGGAGGGCTCCCTACAGCCCGCTGTAGAGTCCTGGCCCTGATGGCCTCGGTGTGGGCTCCTCCCTCGCCGCCAGGGTCCTAGAGGCCTGCGCCCAGTCAGCGACCGGGGGCCGTGTCCAGCGAACTGCCATCACCCAGTTCCAGCGGGCTGGGCCCAGGCGCCTCCTGCGAACCCACTGGGCCCAGTGGCGGACAGCGCTGTTCAGTGTGTGGCTGGAACCACAGGTCGAGGCCAAGGAGGCCAGCACAGCCCACCCCAGGCCCAGAGCCAGCCTCAGGCACTGGCCTAGGCTGGCCACCAGAGGGCACCTCCTGATGCTGAGGAATGCTCCGGCCCTGCGGAGGCAGGTGAGGCCGGGCCGGGCCCAGGTCAGGTGGGAGGTCCAAAATGACCTCAGGGCCACTGGCCTCAGAGTCAGCTTGATTCAGCCCCGATGGTGAGGGTGGTTGCATGCTCTTCCAGGACCCCAGCAGCCTTGTGGACACCACCCCTATGGGTTCTCAACAGCCTCCTGGCCGGGCAGCCAGCCAATTACAGGTCCATCAGCACTTACTGAGCACCCACTGAGTGCCAGCCCCCTAGGTCGCATCTGTTAGGGAGACAGACACCTAAACTCATTATAAGTCATGGTACAGTCTAGGATCAAAAGAGGTAATTGGGGTCAGTAGCAATTTTTTGTCATTCTTTTTTTTTTTTTAATTAGAAAATGAAACATGCTCATTATAGAAAACCCAGAAAATATAAATGAAAAAATATTCTTTCATGACTCTCTCTACCCAAAGATAACTGCCAGTCCGTCTCCAGACCAGAAGCATTAGTTCTGATACCAGCAAATGGTGACAAAGAGCTGGGTGGCCTAGCACGAGGGAAGAGGCCACAAGGAAACCCGGGCACAAAGAGTGACACTGCATGGCAGTCTAGGGACGTGTCATTGCGGGACACATAGCCCCAGAGTTACTGGCAGGCCACAGAGTGTTCCTCAAGATGAACTGGTATCATCAAGAATCCTGTTTCAGGCTGCCACAAAATATGTCATAGACTCTAGAAAAGTTTCTAAGAAAAAAGATTAAAGTGGTTTGTTTTCAATGGAATTGAAACGGACTGGCTTTGGTTATTTGCAGAATCCACATATTTACCTATGTGGGGCTATGGCGACAGCAGATTCTGAGGTCTCAGGGTATTTTATTTCTAGATCTGTGTCTCAAGAGAATTTTATTTTCAGAGTATGTTTATAAACACTTCCATTTCTGTCAGCAATGGCAGGCAGGGATCCCGTTTACTGATGGAGAAACTGAGGCTTGTAGAAACAAAGTAAATGTCAGGAATGGTAAATGGTAACTAGGGGGCTGAATTCCAGGCCCCCCTCTTTCTACCGCATGCACAGGCGCACCCAGGCAGCCCTCACCTAACGACGGGGGCGGGTTTTATGCCATCTCATGGTGGCACAGACTCCCTTAGAGAGCCCCTGGTGTCCGTACAGCGCAGTCGCTGGGGGCTCAGGCCCTGGAGTCAGACCACTCCGGAGAGCTGAGGCCTCAGACAAGTAATTTGACTTTATGAGGCTGAGTGGGGAGAGTAATGCCCACCTCACAGGGTGTACCTGGCACAGGTAAGCTCTGATTGGTAGCCATTTTTGGTCCACTCACCTTCCTGAGTCTCGAGCCATGTGGGAGTATGGGGAAAGAGGCAGTGGCGTGTACTTATGGCCATACTACTCTCGGGCCTTTCCTGTCTCCTCTGGGAGCCTCAGGGCTCGCGGGAGAATCCGTCCCACTTGTGTGCACACAAATAGGAGGGCCTGTTACTGGTCGGGAAAGGAATCCTGCCAGGTCACTTGGGCCCCTAGATGTCCAAGCCCATTGGTTCAGGGTTTCCTCTTTGTTCCCTCAGACCCGCAGCTGCAGGCCCCAGGCCACAGGGCCTGGCCTACCCAGCCCAGCCAAGCACCACAGCCCCAGTGGACAGAGGAAGCAGAGAGAAACGTCCCGGACTCAGAGTAAGGAGACTCTCCCTCGGGGAATAAACAATGTCTGAAGTGCAGGGATGAGACCGTCAGCAGCCCTCACGGTCCTGCCCGGAAATCAGCTTTGAACTCTTGGCGAATCTGCCTTATGTATTTACTGTTTTCCCCACCCATCTCCTCTTCTGGAATATTTCACAATTTTGAGAAAACAATTACAATTTCTACTGGCCCACCCTTTGGGGCCGCAGCCCAAGCCTTTGCAGGAGGCTTGGGCAGAGGTGGTGGCAGCAAGGACACAGGCTCAACACCATTTCTTGTTAACTCTCTTCCTAGGGCTCAGCTTCCAGAAGCACCGGGGGGAGAGCTTACTCCCCTGAATGATGTGTTAACCTCTTCTGACGCCCCTTTGCCAGGTGACAGAGAGCCTCCCCTCTGCCCCGCCTCCCAGCTCCAGCTGCTGGGGCCCAGGGCCAGCGCCCTACGGGGCCAGAAGGGGACCCAGCTCTGAGACCAAAGACCTCGAGGGCAAAGGCAAGGCCAAGCAAAGGTGTCTGGGGTGGGAGCAGGGAGTGTGCATGGAGAGGGAGGGCTGAGAGTAGGGGTGGAGAGGGAGGGCTGAGGGTGTGGGCTGGGCTGAGGGGCTTGCCTGACCTCGGCCCTCTCTGGCCGGTGCTCATCCCGCAGGATTCTGCGGACCAGGCCTAGGCCCATGGCTCTGCCCGCTTTCGTGGCCATGAAGGGGTCGTGATGCCCTTTGCTGTCAGGACACACACCAGGGCCTCTCCCTTCAGGAGGAAGTGCCTGCAGCGCCGACGCCTTGAGGCACTGCTTTGCCGGCTCCCGGCTTCCCTGCAGGCCAGGCCCGGGCAGCTGCATGGCAGCGCTGGGTAGATGCTCAGGGGATGGAGCAGCTGGCGCCGACGCTGGCGAGCGGGGCTGCCCCTCCCCACCCTCACACTGACCTCCCATCACGTCCCATTCCCAGCCCTAACCCCTGGAAACGCAGTCTCTGAAAGTAAGTTCAGGCCTTTGGACCTACCAAGCCTGAAACCTCGGGAACAGGTGCAGGAATCTGCACTGTTAACACACCTCAGATGACACCTCCTCGTCACATCCCCTTCCTCCTGGTGCCGCAGAGTCGCAGGCAGGGAGAGGCAGCAGAGGGGCTGGGGGCTGCCAGGCTGGGGACAGTGGTGGGCCCAGCTCGGAGCCTCCTCGTGACTGTCCCCATAGCTCAGGCAGTGGCACCTGAGGCGAGCCTAGCGACGGTGGGCCCTGCAGCTGCAGCTGTCTCAGCGATTACAGCAACAAGAAGACGGTTGTGTCCATTCCCAGGTACTGGGAGGGGGGGCGGCCCCGCCCCCCAGCAGGCCCTTCCTAGCCATGCCATGCCTGCACATTCCTGAGCTGCGGCCCTCCCTGCTTGCTGCCCCCAGAACCCCTTCTTTTTCAGGGGAGGGGTCAGTTCAGTTAGAGAAAACAGCCTGGATTCCAGAGCCCTTAATCCAGCTGGTGACCGCGTGCTGAGCACAGTCGTGGCCGTCACTGGTCCAGGGACGGGCTTGGCCTGTGGCACAGCTGCCACTCACACCGCCCGTGTTGGGTGTGGGCCGCTGAGCACCGCCACCTGATGTGCACTCAGAGCCCAGCTTCCCTGATCGCAGGCCTGTGCGTCTGGCCTGGGGCAGAGGGAAGGACCTCCTCTTCCCTCGGGGGCAGAAGGAGCTGGGCCCCGGAGTTCTTCCAGCACTGACAGCACATACCCAGGAGGGAGCCAAAGAGCTTCCTGCTCCCCAATTCGATTCCAGGCCTTTGAAACACGGCACCAGTGTCTGGCAGCCAGGGGCCTGAGGGGCAGAGCCAGCAGCAGTGGGAGGCCTCGGAGCAGGCAGGAAGCCGCCGGAGCCCCTGTGCTTGGTGGACCTGGGGTGAAGCAGGGGGCCCAGCAGCAGCTGTGACCCGTTTCCCTGGAAAGGAAAGCAGATCGGAGCCCCACCCACCTGAGGAGTACAGGCTCAGGCACAAGGCACACAGGCCAAGAGCTCTGAAGGACAAGAAAACGCCCTCCTTAGCCCTGGCTGCTTCTCTCAGTCTCTCCTAAAGGCTGCCCCCTGCCCCACCCAACCAGCCGCTCTGACCTGCTTCCTCTGCCATCAGGCAGGCGGCCCTGTGGACAACCGGCCCCCTCTCCCTCCCCGGAGCCGGTGAAGCCCCGCAAGCAGGGGCTGGGACAGGGACCAGCCTGCGTGTTCGTGTCAGTTACAGCCCCTGGGCAGTGGGGCCTGAGGGCTGATGCCTGGGGAGCAGTGCCAGACAGACAGCTTCCGGGACAGGGTGCATGGAGGGGAGGGAGCGGCGGGCAGAAGGAGGTCCTGCCCGAAAAATAAGCCAGGAAGAAGTCAGTCCTGCTCGGGCCAACCTCACCTTCGCCCTCGATGGCAACAGGCAGGGTATCCCTTCACCCCTCAGAGCCAGGGGAGAAAAGGGAAGGCCAAGGGCTCCACCACGCACAAAGGTTTAGACACCTTTAACCCTTAAGAGGCACTTTCTCTCTCGAGCATGTGAGGAGACAACTGAGGGTACGCTGGGAGGAAGCGAGAGAGAGGCATGGACATATGTACACTACCAAACGTAAGGTAGATAGCTAGTGGGAAGCAGCCGCATAGCACAGGGAGATCAGCTCGGTGCTTTGTGACCACCTGGAGGGGTGGGATAGGGTGGGAGGGAGGGAGACACAAGAGGGAGGGGATATGGGAACATATGTATATGTATAACTGATTCACTTTGTTATAAAGCAGAAACTAACACACCATTGTAAAGCAATTATACTCCAATAAAGATGTTAACAAAAAAAAAGCAGCGCTGCAGAAAAGGGAGAAACTCAGCTGAGCTCTCGGCTAGGAGGAGGGGCGACCACTTTTAGGTCTCAGTCCAAGGTCCATCCAGGGGCCAGTGCCTGGCAGGGCAGTGGTCCACCCCTTCACTCCCGAGTGGGTCGTGTCTGGCTGCCAACGCCTTGGAGGTGGAAGGCTGCAGCGCCTTGACCTTACCACGTCTCCTCTGCAGTCCCACAGAGCCCACTGCCATGTTCGCTTTGCTTGTCCTGCACAGGCCCCAAGAGCAAGGTCACTGGCAGTCCCAGGCTGGCTCCTAGGGGCTCCGTCAGCAACAACCCTTCTCGGGGAGGATGCGCTCTGCCCACGTGCTCCTCTGGGGGATGCGGTGCTTCCCACCGGAGCACAGACTCTCAGCTAAGCAGGGAACACCTGGCTCCCGTGTGGGGTGGACTCCGGTCCAGCCGGAGCCTGGAACCCTCACACCAGTCTAGCTGCCATCATCGTGTCAGGGGGTGGGGGGAAGCGAAGGAGAACGAGGGTCTCCCAGAGAACCAGGACGGAGAGGAGGAAGGCGGGACACAGTGGCCTCAATCAAGCTAAGGGTGTCAGGGCTCAGGGTCACAGCGCCTCCGTCTCCCTCTTGCTCTGGGGGGGCCTGTTGAGAAGCTCAAACGTGTCTTCCACCACCTGCCACAGACAGCTGTCCAGCGGGAACTCGTTGTCCACCAGGTTGACCAGAAAGTAGCTGTCGTGGATGTGCTGGATGATCGCGCGGGACGGGGACTCCGCCTCGTACAGCTTGCCCCACTGCTCGATCCACAGGGCGAAGGCCTCGTCCTGCACGCACGCACAGGCGCGCACGTGCGCACACACACGGAGACAGAAAGACACAGGTACATGCGCGGTCACACATACAGACAGGCTGGCCAGGGTAGCAGGGCTGCCCTAGGGCCAGCACCCTAGGCTCAGCACCCCAAGGGCCTCTGCTGCTGCCCGACAAGACGTTTCCAAGAATAGAACTTGGCCCACTGCCAGTGCCACCCCTGCTCCCCAGCCCAGAAGTAAACACCATGAGTCAGTGTCAGGGCGCTGCCAGCCCTGGGGGTGCGGCCCCCAGCCACCCCGCCCGCCCGCCCAAGGCTCTGGAGGTGGGCAGGGCAGGCCTGCTCCCGGCCCCCCCTTACCTTCCAGAACATGAAGCTGACTGGGTCCACCACTGTGGGCTGGATGATCTCTCGCCCAGGGAAGATGCCCCAAGTGACGGCGTTGGGCTGCAGCTCGGGGGCGTTGGTGATGTTGTCACCCTGCGGGGCGGCGGGGTGGGGGGCGCGGTGGGTAGGGGCAGACTTGGGGTGCAGACAGCTCCAGCCCTCTCCCGGGGGGCGTGCTCCGCCCCTCCTCCCACGGTCACCGCCCCACCCCTGCCCCGCCTCTGCAGCTCTGTGACTGGAGCCTGAAACCCAGATGTCACCCTGGGCTTTTCCTTCCTCCTCCTACGCTCCAATCAGCTCCACACCCACTGGTACTGCTCACTCCCTCTCGCGTCCAGCCTCGTGTCCAGCCTGGCCAGGCCTCTCTTTGCTACTCAGACCACCAGGGCTGCTGACTCTAGCCTCCCCTGGCCCTGTTATCCACACAGCTGTCCCCTGGGACCTGCCCAAGAGAAAACATGAAGCCAAGGCTCCCTCTTGCCTATACGGGAAAACCCAAGCTCCCAGCAGGACAACTGAGACCCCTGAGGACCCGGCCCCGGCTTAACGCTTCAGCCTCACTCTGACCCCATTTGGCAGCGATGCCTTCGCACGCCCTCTGCCCTGTCCCTGGGATGCCCTTTTACTCCTCATCCTTAAAGACTCAGGCCACACAGGAACTCTCCAAACACCTCCCCTGATCTCTCGAGCTGGTCATCCCTCCCTTGGATCCCCAGCTTCTTCCTATGCTGAACTTTACGGCTATAAAGTGCAACTGCTTTCACCCGTTCATAATTAATTCACTGATGGCTGCCCTCGCTAGGCTGGGAGCTCTCGGAGGGCAGGGGCCTGGCTCTGTCTACATATCCATCTGGCACGATGCACGGCCCCACTGGGCACTCCGTGACTGCTGAATGGTGGAGTACACGTGGTGCCCTGACCGCGGCCCTGCCAAGCGCCCTTTGACCCGGGGCTGGCCCACCTTCACGTCCACGATGTGATAATTCACCCGGAGCTCGTACTTCTTTAGCACCTGCAGAAGCGCCTCCACTGTCTCTCGGGAGGTGAAGAACTCTAAGTAGGCCTGCGGGAGGGAGACAGGTGCCGTCACGTAACCCCCGGTCCTTGCTGGACGCCTTCGCTGGGCGCTGCTGAGTGGGCCATGTGCTCTGAAACACCAGACGCCTGCCCTCCTGACGGTCCCAGGGAGGCATCTACGAGGACACTTATAGCAGAACACTTAAGGCGTCGGGACTAGCGGTGGCCACCAGTTGGGAGTTGAACCCATAAGCAGAGGGAGGGGAGCAGGTACGTGAGGTTTCTCGGTCTGGACAGGTCTGAGGGACGTCTGCCAACCCTTCGTCCAGTTGGGAAAGGTTCCATGGAGAAGTCACTCCAGAAGCTGTACAGGGGGCCCAGTTTGGCAAGTAAGGCAAGAGAGGCCTGACACACCCCATCCCCCATCTGCTGGGTGGAGGGCTTCTCCAGCACCACCTGGCCACCAGGGATTAAGCTGGGCTTATTTAAATTCACTTCCCAGAGCCCTCAGGCTTTAGTTTAGAATGTAATTTTAACTCCAGCAGCCCCAGGAGAAAGGGGTCCACAAGGAAGAGTAATAATAGCTCTCAGTTAGGGGACGCTTCCCACGTGCTAAGCACTTTATGTGCTTTGTCATGTTTCAGCCCCAGAATACGACGTGACATATCCCCATTTTACAGAAGGGAAGGCTGAGGCCCTGAGTGGTCAAGTGACCAGCCTACCCAGGTCTGTCCGACTCTGAGCCTGAGATCGCATCCACTCTGATCCCTGGCCACTCAGAACAAAGAGCCCCTGAGATGAAGGCCTCCGTCCCCAGCTCCAGGGAACCCCTGCAGGCAGGTCAAGGGAGGGTAGCCCTGTGCGTCCCTGCCACACCTTCTGGAAGACATAGCCCCCGCCGGGGCCCCAGCCCACGACGGGGTCAGAGGACGGCTTCCCGTTGATGTTGGGCTGGGAGTTGATGGTGAGGATGCCCCGCCGGTTCACTTGCAGCAGCTCCTCCTTCATCAGGCTGGTCTCGGCCGCCAGGGGCTCATCATTCCAGGGCAGGCAAGTCACCTGGGGAGGGTAAGCCGGGCTGGGTCCCTCCCTGTCACGGTCCCCATCAGAGGCCCAGCCTGTCTCTGCTTCCGTAAGCCCCTTCCGGGCACCCCACGTGGGGACCCCCCAATTCATCTTCTCCCTTTGCTGAGGTGCCACCTCCAGGCACAGCGATGAGGCTCAGGGTGGGGCAGTCACGCCCTCGTCTGGCCCATGGGGCGAGGGGAGGTACCCAGGGACCCCATCCCAGCAGCACTCACTTTATAGCCGTTCTGGTTCGGCTCTCCCGAGAGGTAGTGGGCAAACACTTCAAAGACGCTTTCTTCGCCGGTCAGCTCCTCCCCCCACATCTTCAGCAGCTCTTCCTTTGGGGACTTGCTCTTCAGGTAGAAGAGATAGTAATCCTTCAGCTCCCCGAAGGCCGGAGATGAGGAGTTGCCCCTGGCGGAGGAGGTGCCGGGAGGTCAAGGCACACCCCTGACCTCGGGCTCCAGACAGCAGCATCCACCTGCCCCGGGGCCGGGGGGGGGGGGGCAGCATTCCTGGGAATCCTGTCCCGAGGGCGCCGGGAGGTCAAGGCACACCCCTGACCTCGGGCTCCAGACAGCAGCATCCACCTGCCCCGGAGCCGTGGGGGGGGGGGCAGCATTCCTGTGAATCCTGTCCCGAGGGCTCCACCATGATTGGTCTCCCTCCTCCCAAGAAAGAGTTCATTTGCAATAGCTCACCAGCGGCCGTTGGGGAACTCATCCCACTCCTGGGTGCGATAAATGTAACTCTTTGGTCTGGAGGCCCAGAAGATGGGACGGACATCTTCCTCCCGGCGCTTGGGGTGGGCACTGATGGCCCAGGGCAGGGGACGTCTGGGTGAGAATGGAGACAGAAAGAGTCAGGGCTTGGCCAGAGGGAGGGGGCACCACTGAACCTGGGTTCTTCCATCTTGACTCGTAAACGTCAAGCCGGATGGCATTCCCACTGAGACTGGAGCCCTAAGGGTACCACCAGCCATGGCACAGACATCCCCTCTGTGCCCCCGTGGCAGCCAGCACTGCCAGCTAGGGCGCACTCATTCTGTGACTTCTCTCTGACCTCCCTGCCCACCCGACTCTCCTCTGTGGCTCCAGGGCCTGAATTCGGGGCCACTGGCCTCACCTGGGGTCCTCGATCCACATGCCCAAGCGCTTCAGCACCTCTGTGGTGGCCATCTCGCGGTTGAGGGTGTAAAAGTGCAGGCCGGGCACCGAGCCGCTTGCCAGAAGCTCCTGGCACAGGCTCAGCGCCTGCTCGATGCCATAGTTGCGGATGGCAGCGTCGTTGTCTTTGATTGGCTCGATCACGTCCTTGATCTGCTGCGGCACCTCCAGCTTGGACAGCTTTACAAGCTGCCGGAGGGAGTGGTAGCCCTGCCCAAGCCACAGGGGGGCTGTGGGTCCCATCTCCCTGCCCGTCTCTCACCCCAAATACTTATCCCCCCACCAGGCCTCCTGGCTCTGCAGTGTGACACAGACTGACCCAGGAAAGTCAGACCATATTGTACCAGCACTTTTTGTACTCTGCAGGGTGTAGCAGCCGCCCACAGCATTGCTGCCATTGGTCTGAGCCGGCCCTTTGGCCCCTAGATGTACCTATTGATAAATGGTGGTCACCTAAGCCAGTGGTTCCCAAGCCTGACCAATCACCAGAATCGCCTGCCAAACTTCAGAAACGTACAAATTCCCAGGTCCCACCTCAGATCTATTAAATCAGAACTTCTAGGCATGGGATGTGGAAATCCATGTTTTAAAAGAGCTTATTAAATGATTCTGGTGACAGCCAAGTTTGGGAAACATTGACTTAACCCAAATTTATAATGAGAGTAATAATCCCTTTTAGTGACACTTATCAATAAGCCCCTCCAACAGTTACTGTTGCTATTTTGGGGAGACATAAGAGGTAATCAAAAGAGGGTGGCAAGACAACATCCTGCAAGGACTGAGCACCTGTCTGACGAAAATCTAATGAGCGTCAAAAAAGAACTTTGGCCTGAACCGAGGCCCTGGCCTGTGCTAGGACAGGAGTGGTGGGAGTCCATGAGCCCTCTTGGGACCCTCACCTGAATAGGGAAGATGCCGGGGAGGATGGGGCAAGTAATGCCTATCTCGGAGCAAGCCTTAACAAAACGGAAGAAAGTGTCGGCCTCAAAGAAGAGCTGGGTGATGATGAAGTCGGCTCCCGCGGCCACCTTCTCCTTCAGGTGCTTCAGGCCAGCCTCAAAGCTCTCTGCGTCGGGGTGGCCTTTGGGGTAACCTGCCAACAGGGATGACAGTAGAGAGAGACTGGCTCCACCTGCTCGAGGGGGGTGATGAAGCAACCAGAGAGCTGGGGACGGAGAGCTCTGGATCCATACCTTCCAACCCCACGGCACGGACAGGCTGAAGCGGTGATGGCTGGGCTCGTCTGATGCGCCCCTCACCCTGGAGGTGACCCTTGGTGAACGCTGCCTTAGAGCCACCCTCCCAAGAGTGGGGATGGATTGCCCCCAAACACCCACACTGTCCTGCAATCAGCCAGGCCAATCTGGCCTGCACTTTGTGGCCACAGGAGAGGAAATGCTACATTCACACCAGCCAGGCAGCCTTGGGGTAATGGGCTTGACTCTAGGTACTGGATTAAAACAGTGCTTGTAATTTCACATTAAAATTACTCAGGGGTCCCAGACATTGCAAAGTCAGAAACCACGTTACACAAGGAATAAATGAAGAAAGTAGAGATGTTCTGCTTGAAGAAAAGAATGCAGAGAATATGGTAACTATCTCTAGACGCCCACAAGTCTGTCACTGGGAAAAAGGAGTCACCTTAGTCGAGTTCCTTATTCATCATGTTCTGTGCTGCTTCTGACGGCAGAAGTAGGATCAGTTTCAGAGCGCTGCCTAACGACGGAAAGAGCAACCCCACAGAGGAATGGACTCCCAGTGTGTGAAAACAACACGGCAGGGCGATGACCCTGTGCCGGGGATGCCGAAGATGGGATTCCGGGGATGCCTGGGAGGCGGGGCCAGACGTCCCCTAGGTTCCTGACTAGCTCCAGGAACGGTGTGCTCCCTTCCCTAAACGACTGAACTTACTAGCGGCTCTGCCTGCACAGGAAAGACCACAGGCCTCAATGAACTACAAGCAGAGTGCCAGCTTCCTCAGCCTGAGGCCAGGGCAGGACCCCAAGCCAGGAAGGGGCAAGCCTGAACCCACACTGTTGGGTAGCCAGGCTGCTTTGCTGTGATAATGCAGTTTCATTCTTAAGAAACCCTGAGTCATCAAAACTGGATATAAAAACTACTGTTTTGGGGATGGGCGTGGGAGGATTAAACACTAGAGCTTTATACTTTTATACTATACTATGCTTTTATACTTTATACTATTTTTCCAGCAGAAATCTCAGAAACAGAGGTTTTAATAGCTGAAACTCTATAAAACCTCAACAGCACCCAACAAATCCAGCAATTGCTTACATTTGGATTTTGCTCAGTTTTACGATATTCTTGTTCTGTCATGGCCAGCTGGGTGCCTTCTAATCCACTGGCCCTCTTTTTCATCCACTTTACCATAAGCAAAGCACCAAACCGTTCAGCAACTGTACGCTCACAGCTCTGCTGGTTTCCCCTGGTGACCGTCCAATGCCCACCACACGTGGGCACATTCCCCAATCAACCGACTGTCTCGTGGCCGCATGACCAACGACACTTGAATTCCTACCTCCTCATCGGGGCCTCCTAGACTCATCCACCTCAACGCCCTCTTCTCAACACTAAGAACAGCGGACGTGTACATGGGGGCCTGGGGACGCAGCCCAAAGTCCCCACAACAAGTAATTTCCTTGAAGCCACGTGGCTTGTATTTTCAAATTCAGATCACTTTGATTTGCTACTCCATAATGTAGCCATGTTTATTTTAATAAGAATGGTATGATTTTCCCCAAAATATCTGAGAAAAATTGTCATGCCAAGGTGATGTGTCAGATTAATCCCCAGACTTCCTGTGTCCCTGGCACACACTGCCTCACCACACCCAAGCCCCCGTTTGAGAAGCTGAAGGCCCAGACCCCATGGGTCGGGGCAAGAGGGAAGGCCACGCCATCTGTTTCCAGCAGGTGAACCTTGCCTCCTGGCTATAGCTAAAGAAACTAGAGTTGAGCCGACGCAGTTCTCTCTCCTGAGGATTTGGAACTGATGCTGAGATCTGTCAATCAATCTGGGCGAGGCAGGAGCAGGCGGCGGGTCACATGTGTACCGTACATATCAGAGACAGAAAAAGCATACATATCAGGTCTACTGGATGAGGCATGAAGCAGCGGTTGGGGGGAGCGGGGGGCAAAGAGAATGAGGGAGGGCCTTGGATTCTGCCTGCCTCCTGGTTCCAGTGCTTAATGAGGTCTGATGCCATTTCCTGACCTTGTTCTGAGATCCCCGGCCCTCGGAACCTTAATAAATATACCTCTTTTGTTTAAAGAAGAATAGGGCTGGGAAGCAGGCTAAGAGCAAGAAAAGGCAGAGGAAGGGACTTCCCTGGTGGTCTAGTGGTAAAGAATCCGGATGCCTTGCAACCACATGCCACGGGGCAACTAAGCCTGCGAGCCACAACTACTGAGCTCGCACGCCTCAACCAGAGCCCGCGTGCCGCAAACTACAGAGCCCACATGCCACAACTACAGAGCCCACACGCCCTGGAGCCTGTGCGCCACAACTAGAGAGAGAAAACCTGCAAACCACGGCTAGAGAGAAGCCTGCACAACACAATGAAGAGCCCGCGTGCCGCAACAAAAACTGGACGCAGCCTAAAATAAGAAAGAAAAGAAAAATAAATAAATAATAAAAAGAAAAAGCAGAGGAAAAAAAACTTAAGGGGCGGTGGCACGCCTGGGTGGGGAGCGGAGGACGGAATGATGAGAGGGCAGACGCTGTTCGATTCACCCCCGCACCTCCGTCACGCGGCGCAGGCAGGCTGGCGGTGCACTGAGCTAGCGGGGCCTGACCTGAATGCCAAGGGGAGCTCTCTGTGCCTCTCCTTCCTTCCCCTCTCCGGTCCCACCCACTGGGATACCCCAGCCTCTCACCTGCCACACAGACATCAAAGTAGTCACCGAACTCGCTTCGGATATGCTTCACCAAGTCTACGGCGTAGCTGAAGCCTCCGTCCTCCTCTTCCCACTGGTCACCTATGGGGTCTGCAGGGGTGGAGGTCACAGTGCTGGGTCTCACCCAATCTCCAAGTAGCCTCTCTGTTCCTTCTCCCCCCACGCCCAGGACCGTGAGCACGTCCAAGGCAGAGCCTTCCTATTACTCAAGTTGGTGTCTCCGCTTTCTAGTGTAGCACTTGGTAAACAGTGGGAGGGAAGACAGCAGCCAACCCATCAGACAGTCACTGAGCACCGACTCCGAGGGCCCCGTGCTGGCAGCAGCAGACAGGGAGCAGCTGCAGCTCTGCGTTCAGCCTGGAGCATCGGCGATCCCTTCCCTACTCACACCTGGGTGTGTCCACACACCCTCACCCAAGCCCATGGCTCGTTCTCCCACTCCCTCGGAACCCTCGCCTCCCGGGAGAATCTTCCACTCATCTCAAGTGAGAAGTGGTCTTTCTGGTGGTGAGCGTGAAGCCACAAGTGCCCACCCATCAGGCTCCCACTTCCCACACTTGTGTGGCCCAGTGACAGTGCGTGCCAGAGGCACAAGCAGCTATTCTCACTCCTAGGACACATGCCAGAGCTGAACTCTTCGACTGGGCCAATGGCCAGGTGCAGCCAGGGATTGATTAATTGCTTGATTAATTGATTAACTGATCGTGTACATCGCGACAGAGGGTTATCAGGCCCCGGCCGCAGGCCCAGCTGAACTCCTACTGCGAGGTCAAGAAGTGGCTCCATCTGCGTGTCGCCTATGTCCCCCTGACCCACACTGCCTGTTGATGCTACTGGCAGGGACGGGACCCTGAGTGTACTCAGTGTGGGACCTGGAGAAAAGGAAAGGACCATTCCGGGGACAGAAGTCTTCAGGAAAGCAAGACCCCAGAGAGCAGAGTGCTGACTCCACACCTCCCCTCAGCGCCAGGATGTTCTTCAGGCCCAGACGCTTGGCCTTGTGCAGGTGGCCCGTGATCTCTTCCCGGCTCTGATGGCAGCAGGTCATGTGCAGGATGGTCTCCAGGCCACAGTAGTTCACGGCGGTGCTGGCGATCACCATGGACGAAGTTTCCTTGTCTGAGCCAGGGTCCCCTGCTGGATGCCAGGTCACATCTATGAAGAGGGGACCACCTGCCCCCATCCGGTCAAATCTGTGGGGAATTTCTTTCTGAAGAGGGGCTCCTGGGGGTACACCACCCTTCACCACCTTCCCATGGGGTCTGGGAGTTAGAGAAACATCACATGCAGGCTGGAATCAGACCGACCTGCATTCATATCCTGGCTTTGCTACTTATTGGCTGTGTGATCTTGGGAGAATTACTTGATCTCTCTGAGCCTCAGTTTCCTGATTTCTATAATGTGGCAGAGGACAGTGCCTACTTCATAATAATACTCTGAGGATATCATGACAGATGGCTCCACAGTTCTTAAAACAGCGCTGGGTACACGGCAAACATGCAATCAATGTGCTATCATTATGATTACTCTTACTGTGGAGATAATATATAATGACAATGAAACCAGTTTGTGTGAGAGCAGCACTTTGGACTTTTCAAAGTGCTTGCACATTTATTATCTCGGGTGAGTTAAGACATGTCAATGGTCAAGGGTTCGGGGACCCCTCAGAGTGGCAAAAGCAGGGCCTCGCTCTAGGGACAAAGAGGGTCAGCAGACACAAGTCTCTTTCCTGCCGCCCCCCAGTTCCGGCGCAGCAGCCAAGAGTCCTGCAGAGCATGGCCACATTTCCATAACTAGAATCAAGAGCTATACGTGCGCACATGCGCTGTTACAAGCTATAACGTGGTGCACTGAAACATCTTTGTGCCTTCAAACTTCACAGTCTTGGGAGTGACACATAAGAAGTGCAAGCGATAAAAAGCATAAACTTTAAAAAAGGAACTGTGATTCATCAAGTGCTAACATAATCCGGTTGGCATTTCTAGATTTCAAGCTGCATAATCCAAATTCCTAACTTGCTGAAAATGTTCTCCAAGCCGCAGTTTTGTAACTTCCTAAACTCTCCTCACGGATCCAGCCCCAAGTTCCGCCAAAGAATTTAGTCTGAGAGAATCAACATTTTTAGCACATGGAAGAGAGTGTCTAAACATTCCAGGTGCTTGGAGGGGCTTTTACAGACAACAGAAGCTGCGTATCAAAGGATCTACCCTGGCTTTGCTTTTTTCCACCCCCTGTGGCTGCCTTTTCCTGCTGGGTCAAAGTGCAGCCCAGCCTCAGCTGACAGTTCATCTTTTCCCCCTGCCCCCATCCCCCAGTCTGGCCCTACTCCTTATCGTGCGTTGACTCACCTTGAGATGAGATTGACAGCTCCCTCAGCAGTTCGAGGAGGGAAGAATTCTAGGGAGAACCACTTGTCACCAGATTCCATCCTCCGCTTCATCTTCTCCCTGAGCCTCTCGTGTCGTTCAGGGTCCAGCACCGGTGTGGAACACCTTGAACTATCCTTGGAGCTCTCGCTGCCACTGCTGCTGCACTCCCAGCGGGGGCTGGGGCCGCCATGCCCTCTGGGTTCGTTCACCATGGCTGAGCTCCTGCTGCACGGGGTGAGGCAGGGGGCGTGAGACGGCAGGCAGGCAGGCAGCCGAGCCCCAGCAAGGCTGCGTCAAGCGAGAGATGCTGCATTTCCACGCAGGAGGAAGGCCGGTGAGGGTACAGGTGACAACGCGCCCACCCAGTGGCTCCACACGCCAGTTACGACTGTCTGCGCTGCCTCGCTCCAAGCTTTGCCCTCCGCTGCTGCCTGATTCCGCATATGACAGCCCCCACCCAGCACAGAAACATGCTCCTTCAGCCCGTGGATCCTCCGTGACTGCTACCTGATGGAGGGTGGCACTGAGAACCTCGCGCTGCCGGCCTCCCAGGCCCGCGTTCCCAGGGAGGGGCAGCAGTGCCCCGCCGGGAGGACCTTGGGTTTTGAACGGTCCATCTCTGCCAGTGTAAACTCAGACCCCAGACCACTGGGGAAGAAATGGAGGAAACTTCCCCAGCGGGTGTGTCCGACTGGGCGGAGCTGTGACAAAGGAAGAGCTGAGAGCAGCAGCTGGGGCCGGCGCGAAGGGGCGGGGGCAAGGCTTCCCGGCGAGTGGGAGGGCTGAGGCTCTAGAGGCCGAAGGCGGATGGAAGGAGGGGGACGTGGGACTGCAGACTGCAGGGTTTGGGTGTGATGAGGCCAACAGATGTTCCGGGTGACTGGATCACATGCCAAGGAAGGAACGGCTCAGCCATGGAAACATCTCCTGTTACTTGGAACAGTTTGTATGCATGCAGGCTGGAAGGGGTGAGGGCTTGACAAAGCAGCCTGATTTCTCCCGAGTTTGTGCTTCTCTGAAAAGACCATGTCATGGGTTAGAACTTGACATTGGCTGGGTTCCAAAAATAGCCAGACCCAAATTCAATAAGGGCATGAATTTATGTCCAACTCAGAACAAAGGCTTAACAGTCTGTGCCTGCCTTCCAGGCTGTTCTTACACACACCACTGAAGTCAGTTCAAGTGACTACAGCGACTGCAAAGCCACCACGGTTGAAGCCCTGAACCATGGCAACCACAGGCTGGCCGACAAGAGGGCACAGCGCCGTTGGGCAGTTTGGTGGGGAAAATAAGACAAAAACTGAAACAAAACACTACTCTTGCACAGCAAGATGCAAATACACAGTAGTGAAAATCCAGGGTGTGGTGACCTGGAGCATTAGAGGAGCAACCAAGCCAAGTTCATGTCTTTCAGGGAATGTCCACTGCTAAGCCCGTGTTCTTAACCATTTTGGGGGTCCTAGACTCTTGAGAAACTGATGAGATCCAATGCTCCTATCCCCTCAAACACTTGAACATACACAAGTGCATGTAACACACCCTGGTACACCCAACGTCAAGGAGTTGAGACCAGATTGAGACCAGACCACCGCCAGGGATGCCCATTTTGATTCTGACCTAAAATTCCAGTTTCTCTGTGGGGATGAACGACTAAGAAAGGGGAGAGTGTCAAGATCAGCCTAGTCTGGTCTTTCTTCCGAATTCCAGAGAGTGCCTCATTAATTGTCTGCTGGAACAAAACCAAGAGGGGAGAGGAGGCTGAACCACCCACAAACTAAATGCTCTTTCATTTGTTCATTAAGACTTACCGCATTCCTAGTATGTGCCAGGCACTAGCCTTCTTCCAACATTTTTCACGTGCTACCACTTAACCCATTTTAAGCTAGGATCCCATAGCACCCTGGGTTGCTACTGTGGGTTCACATATTTGTCTCCGCTCCCTCTTCCCAGTTCCCTGAGACCAGGGCCGGGTATTCTGCCTATGGTATCCCCGCGCTAGCACCAGGTAACAGTCAGCACTCACTGAGCGCCGACGGGCCAGGCACTGTCACCCCGTCCTCAAAGCAACCCTCTGCCATTTGATGAGCACTTAAGCGGTGCCAGGCACCGAGCAGCGGGGGAATGCGGAGCCCACCACTCCCAGAGGGGTCCCGGTGGGCACCTGTGAGCCGCCCGATGCAGTGGACGTCGGGGACAGCAGTGCCAGCGGCCCACGGCTCTTCTCCGGGTGCTCGGCAGGGAGCCGGAGAGATGCCTCTGGCGCCGGGGGCTCGAGGGCCACGAATCTAGTCACCGGGTCACTAGGTCACGGGCGGGGGCGGAAGCGAAGGCCCAAGTCCACCCCCAGCTCAGGGCCGACTCAGCCCTGCGGTCCTTCATTCCAGGCCGGGGGCCGAAAGTGAGTCTCCGCTTCACGGCTGAGGATCGCGGCGGGGGGG